TTTCTACAATTTGGATAAATTCAGTGTCTTGGATTGGCAGAGAAAATTTGATTTTAGGGGCTGGGAAGGTGGCTCAGTGGTAGAGCGCTTGCCTTGCATGCATGAGGCCCTGGGTTCAATTCCTCAGCACCACATAAGCAAAAAGAAAAAAGCCGGAAGTGGTGCTGTGGCTTAAGTGGTAGAGCGCTAGCCTTGAGCTGAAGAGCTGAGGGACAGCGCCCAGGCCCAGAGTTCAGGCCCCACAACCCGACAAAAAAAAAGAAAAAGAAAAAATTTGATTTTAAGAACTAGAATAATTTCTGACAGTACTCAGATGAGCTACACAAACTAGTGAGAAAAGTATCAGCATCATGGCTGTTGGATGTTGTTGGATATCTTCAGAGGACTTCTAAGGGATATATTGATGTATTCCCTTTTTACTTTGTGGTTTTTTTAAAATGTAGTATAACATCCTTTAAAAAACCATTTTTTGAGTCACCAATCTAAAACCAATCAGATGACAATATCAAAAATTGAAATAAGGCCATTATATTTTCAAAAACTCCCAAAGTAGTTTTGATGTGCCTTCAGAGTTAAGAATCAGTGATTCAAAGTAGCACTTCTTACACCAATGTGCAGCTGAGGGTCTTGTTAAAATGCAGGCTTGTTTTCAGTAGATCATCTAAGTTGGGCCAAATATTCTGCATTCGATAAGCTTCCCAATACTGTTGCTCCACAGACAATACTTTAGAGTAGCAAGGAATTTTAGGAAAAAGACCAAGAAAGAGTCTGCTCTGTCTGAAATGAACACTTGGTACCATAAATGCAAAATACAGTGTTTTGTTTTTGATCTGACTCAGGTTAGTTTCTGTTTGTCTCAGCAATGGCTATGTATGTAGTACATAAGTACTTACATGTAAGTACTTCAAAGACAAAACTTTATCCATTTCACAGTAGCAGACAGGAGTTTTATTTAGATAAAATGTCAGGGAAATGATCTTTTAATAGGAGATAAATAGCATTTGAATAGAAAGTTGAGCAGAATGGATGTCAATATCATGCCCAAGCTAATGCAGTATTGTCTATATCTTTCATTGGGGGGGGGGAGGTAGGGTAATCTTCCTTCATTTTTCTTGTATTTCTGTAATTTGATAAACTATAACTTTTACCAACCAGAAAAAAAGGTTAAGAGTGCAAATAAAAGGTCTCCAGGGGCTGGGAAGATGGCTCAGTGGTAGAGCGCTTGCTTTGCATGCATGAGGCCCTGGGTTCAATTCCTCAGCACCACATAAGCAAAAAGAAAAAAGCCGGAAGTGGCACTGTGGCTAGAGCGCTAGCCTTGAGCTGAAGAGCTGAGGGACAGTGCCCAGGCCCAGAGTTCAGGCCCCACCACCAGACCCAAAAGAAAAATTAAAATAAATAAATAAATAAAAATAAAAGGTCTCAAAACACCTTTTTTTAGTTGTGAGCCCAGAGGTCATTTATCCACAAATACCATCATTCAGGGGCTCTAAAATGACAATGTTTCTCCTTTTTTTAAATGGTGGAGACTGTGAAAGGAAGTGAAGATTAACTAAATATATCCAAGTGATGAGTGGTAAATGACGTTGCTGATTATGAGAGATTAGTTGTGTTTTTACTTAGAATTTCCTTTTGCTGTTTTTCTACCTCGTATTTAACAAGCTTATTAGCATGCATAAGAATTGTGTGTGTTGGTGGTGGGAGGAGGGGGGAGGTGATCAAAGAGGTAACATTGATCAAGATGCACAATCTGACTTGCTGAATTGAAACCTCTTTTTATAACCATTAAAATAAAAGTTTTTAAATCTTATTAACTTATTATTATTATGGAGATGATGTACAGAGAAGGATTACAATTACATGAATCAAGTAATGAGTATATTTCCTTTTGTACAGTATCTTCTGTTCCCTCATTCTCTCTCTCCCTCACCTCCCCTCCCACAATTTTTTTTTTGGGGGGTAGGGTCGGTCATGGGACTTGAACTCTGGGCCTGAGCGCTCTATGCCTGAGCTCTTCAGCTCAAGGCTAGCTCTCTACTACTTGAGCCAGTGTCACTTTCAGTTTTCTGGTGGTTTATTGGAGATAAGAGTCTCACAGACTTTCCTACCTGGGCTGGCTTTGAACCATGATCCTCAGATCTCAGCCTCCTGAGTAGCTAGGATTACCGGTGTGAGACACCAGAACCCAGTTCCACCCTAACATTTTATTTATTTATTTTTATTTAGTTAGTTTGGTTGGTCGTGGGGCCTGAACTCTGGGTCTAAGCACTGTCCCTCAGCTCTACAGCTCAAAGATTGCACTAAGGCACTTGAGCCACAGCACCACTTCTGGCTTTTTCTGCTTATGTGGTGCTGAGGAATCAAACCCAAGGCTTCACGCATGCAAGGCAAGCACTCGACCACTAAGCTACCATCCCAGCTCCATTCCCTAAAATTTTAAAGGATAAAAAAAGAATTACTGGGCTGGGAAGGTGACTCAGTGGTAGAGCGCTTGCCTTGCATGCCAGAGGCCCTGGGTTCAATTTCCCAGCACCACATAAGCAAAAAGAAAAAAGCCGGAAGTGGCACTGTGGTTCAAGTGGTAGAGCGCTAGCCTTGAGCTGAAGGGCTGAGGGACAGCGCTCAGGCCCAGAGTTCAGGCCCCATGACTGGACCCAAAAAAAAAAAAAAAGAATTACTTGGCCTGGGCAATGCCTTGCACTTGTAATCCTAGCTACACAGGAGGCTAAGATTTGAGGATCACAATTCAAAGAAGGCTGGGACAGGAAAGTTTGTGACTCATCTCCAACGAACCACAGAAAAAGCCAGAAGTGGTGCTGTAGCTCAAGTGCTAGAGCACTTAGCCTTGCACAAAAAAAGTAGTTCAGGGACATTGCCCAAGCCAAGTTCAAGCCCCAGGACCCACAAAAAAGAGAATTATTTGGGCCTGGGCATGGTAGCATATATTCAGAATCCCATAATGACACTCTTTGTCAAAAAGGATGGTGTACTTAGGGGAGGAGTCCAATGGTATAACACCTCTGAACAGCTAATGAACTATTTAACAAAATGAATACTAGGTATTTTGGGAGTCTGAAATCAGAATTATAGTTAAGGACAGCCTAGGCATTCACATGAGACCCTATCTCAACCACTAGCTGAGTGCCAGCTATTGGTGCTGTGGCTCAAGTGGTAGAGCTTTGAGAAAAGAAGCTCGGGGACAGTGCCCAGGCCCTGAGTTCAAGCTCCAGGACTGGGAAAAAGTCACACTTCTGAAACATGATTTGATTAGCTCAGTTTTGTGGAAACAATTAATGCCATTCAGTGTTGGTTACTTTTTTGGTGTCTACAAAGGCTTTTAATTTAACATTTAAAGCAATGTTTTTGAGTAAATTTTCTTCAATGTTAATATATGGTGTTTGTGTAACATTTAACACTTGAACAATAAATGTGTGATAGAGTTGGGTGGCAAGTTAAGGAGTAACTGCTTGAGCACATGTGGTCTTCATCCTCCACAGCTGGTACTTTTTTTTTTTTTTGGTCATTGTGGAGGTTTGAACTGAGAACCTCTGGCTTGCTTGTTCAGCTGGTGTTCTACTACTTGAATCATGCTTCTAGTCTAATGTTTTTGGTGATTATTGTAGAGATGGAGTTTGGCTTTTCTGCCCAGACTGGCTTCCAGTTGCTATCTTATCACTGACACTCAGCAGTTACTCTTGTTCTATTTTACTTACAATTTTTTAACACTTTTTTCACTAATAGGAAGATAAAGACATTAATAATTGTGTAAAAAGTGTCTCACTTGTAGCTTGTTTTACCTGAATGTATCGGTGTCAGGTCATGTTTTGGTGGTTTTGAAATGGCAGGCACACACACACACACACACACACACACACACACGGCTTCGGTGTCAGGTCATGTTTTGGTGGTTTTGAAATGGCAGGCACACACACACACACACACACACACACACACACACACACACACACACACACGGCTTCAGGCTGGCATTCTACCACTTGAGGCATACTTCCACTTCCAACTCTTTGGTAATTAATTGGAGATAAGAGTCTCACTGACTTTACTGTTCAAACTGGCTTCAAACTGCAATCTAATACTCAGATCTTAGTCTCCTTAGCAGCTAGAATTCCAGACATGAGCCACTGGTACCCAGCAGACATCTTTTTTTTTTTAATTTAATTTTATTTGTGAACATACTGTACAGAGGAGTTACAATTACATGGGCAGGATAATGCGTACATTTCTTACCAAGCATTGCAGCCTCCTCCTTTGTTTACCCTTCACATCCCTTCCCAGCCTCCTCCCTCCCCCTTCTTTCTTCTTCAGAGAAGTTTCTCTTTAAGTCTTTCGCCCACTTATTTATTGGGCAGTTGTTTCTTTGAGGATTTGTTGTTGGGGGGTTTAATTTTTTGAGTTCCAAGTATATTTTAGATATGAGACCCTTGTCCGTTGTATGGCTAGTAAAGATCTTCTCCCAATCCGTGGGCTTTCTATTGATCTTGCTAGCTATGTCATTTTCCCTGCAGAAGCTCTGCAACTTTATGCAATCCCATTTGTCAGCAGACATCTTTTTAAGTTGATCATTTATCTTAGAATAAGATGATTCAGAATGTATTAGAAATTTCCTCAGATAATTCTGTTGTGAATGAAATTCTGGTGGTTTACTTGATCTAATTTACTGCATAAAAGAAATATGCTCCTGGTTATTACCTATGTCCTTTTTTTTTTTGGTTGGTTGTGGGGGTTGAACTCAGGGCCTGTGCACTGTCCCTGAGCTCTTTTTGTTCAAGGCCAATGCTCTACCACTTTGAGCCACAGCTCAACTTCCAGTTTTCTGGTGATTAATTGGAGATAAGAGTCTCCTGAACTTTCCTGCGTGGGCTGGCTTTGAACCACAATCCACAGATCTCAGCCTCCTTAGTAGCTAGGATTACAGACAGGAGCCACACCAGTGCCCAGCATTAGCTATGTACTTTAAGTATTTCAAATTGTTTTTCTAGGTGTCCCCTTTCCTCCAACTCAGAGGCTTACTATGAAGGAAGTATTTGAGAATGGGAAACCTAAAATGGATGTTTTAAAAAACCATTTGATAAAGGAAGGCCGAGTGGAAGAGGAAGTAGCCTTGAAGATAATCAACGATGGGACTGCCATCTTGAAACAAGAGGATACAATGATTGATGTGGAATCTCCAATCACAGGTAGGAAAATAAAAGGTCCTGTTGAGATTCAAGCAATTCTGAGAAGTGATATAACTAACCACAAAGTGGTGGGATAACTTTTCTAGGAATTTTGAGACTATATTAGGACTGGTTAGATGGTTTTTGTTCCTTGAAATAATAACAATATCAAATGTCTATTTTTTTCCAGGAGGACTATTTAGTATCAGTAGATTAACTATAATTGTGTAGTAATACAGCAAAATCTAAAGTAATTTAAATCAATAGTTACACTGTGATCCTTGTTGGCATAATGCCTTATTTCTCCTATGACATAACTTTTCGCTTACATGTCTTTTTTGCCTAGTGTGTGGTGACGTTCATGGACAATTCTTTGATCTGATGAAGTTGTTTGAAGTTGGAGGATCACCTTCTAATACACGCTACCTCTTTTTGGGTGACTATGTGGATAGAGGCTATTTCAGTATAGAGGTAAAAATTAACCTCGGTGTGTTGGACCTATTATATTCTCTTTTAAGAGAATTTATTTTTAAAAGTTTGCTTTCCATTCCTGAATAGAAGAAATGAAAATGTGTACACTGTTAGAATTTATACCTTATTACTTTCAACATTAACTGATACAACAAAAATCTCTTTCTCTAGCATATGGAAGGCTGCATAAAGCCAATTTTGAAAATAAGTTGAAATGTTTATTAACCTTTCCTCTTTGAAGATAGTGTACAGGCTGTATCTAAAGGACCCTTTTCACCTAAATAGGGTTTGGATTAGCTGACCCTAATTATAAGACCATAAGCTGTTTGGCTATAATTAACTTTAGATTAAGCAGGCACTTAGCTTATTGTAGAAGTAATTTCTGGTACTATTGTACATGGCAAGTAAGCATCTAATAGATATTCATTGAAGGGGAAAAATAAATTACAGTTAAGTTAGTGAAATGTTATAATGTACCCTTATATATTTTGAGAAATGAATGTAGGAACATGGTTAGAATTAAAAACAATTACATGCTTTAATGTGTAAAATAAAAAATAATTGAGAACCTAGTACTAGGTCATGAATACTGTGAAATATGTAATATATTCATATTCAACTCACATGCTTCTCAAAAGTGGAATGACTTCAGTACAAATAATCTTAGTTTCGGAATATGAGATTCAAAACAGTTTGCTTGCCTTAGCATTTTAATGTTGTCATTCCTGCCTACCCTTCATGGTGTGAGACTCTCAATGTAATAAGCCTTCTAGTGGCAAAAGGTTTAATCTTTATGTCACTCACTCAAATACAAACCAACTATTTTACCTAAGGCTCAAAGAAGCTGCCCAAGGAATGATAAACAGTAAAACAAATGGAACTGAGCACTTGTGGCTCCTGCCTGTAATCCTAGCTACTCAGGAGGCTGAGATCTGAGGATCATGGTTTCAAGCCAACCCAGGCAGGAAGCCCATGAGACTCTTTATCTACAGTTAATCACAAAAGTGGAGTTGTGGTTCAAGTAGTAGAATGCTAGCCTTGAGAAAAAGGAGCTCAGGGACAGTGCCTAGGCCCAGAGTTCAAGCCCCAGTACTGGGGAAAAAATTGATTCTACAAGTTAGTTAAATGGCAAAAAGTATAATTTTATCTGCTAGTGACAAAAATTTAGTGTCAAATATAAAGGCAAAAAGTTAATGCTATAAACTAAGAAAGTAGTCCTATTTTCCTGCTGTTCAGTAAGTGTCCACACTTGCCAGCTGTCATTCAAAAGCCTCCCAGTTGCTTCCCACATTTTAAGACAGTTAAATAAAAAGTATGGATGTGGGCCTGGGAAGGTGGCTCAGTGGTAGAGCGCTTGCCTTGCATGCATGAGGCTCTGGGTTCGATTCCTCAGCACCACATAAGAAAAAAGCCGGAAGTGGTGCTGTGGCTCAAGTGGTAGAGTGCTGGCCTTGAGCTGAAGAGCTGAGGGACAGCGCCCAGGCCCAGAGTTCAGGCCCCATGACCAGACCCCCCCCCAAAAAAAAGTATAGATGTTTGGGTTCAGGTGGCTGACACCTGTAATCCTAGCTCCTCAGGAGGCTGATATCCCATGATTGTGGTTTGAAGTTAGCCCAGGCAGAAAAGTCCATGAGACTCTTATCTCCAATAAACTACCAAAAGGCTGGAAGTAGAGCAGTAGAGCACTAGCCTTGAGCAAAAGTAGCTCAGGGACAAAGCCCAGGCCCTGATTTCAAGCCCCACAAACGTGCTCCCGCACGCACACACACAGAGAAAAGTATGGATGTTTGAAAGACATAATACAAGCTTATTTTATTGTGTTTATAACTATATATGCAGATTTTAGGACTAAAATTGTGTGTATGTGTGTGTTTCAGAGAGTTGTAGATTAGGTAGAATATGGAAACTGATTTCTATGAAGGCATCTTACTATACACTCTGTTACATTATAGAACAACAAAGGTACCCCATTCAGAAGCTAGATTTCCTCTTTTTCAACTTGGCAGTGGCAATGAGATTCATCATAGTAAGCCATTTGGACTTATATAAACTGTCTTTATGTGTTATAGTCACAAAGAAAATTTTATTCTTGGATTTGTCTTGTAGTGTGTGCTGTATTTATGGGGTTTAAAGATTAATTATCCTCACACATTCTACCTGCTTCGAGGAAATCATGAATGCAGGCATCTTACAGAATATTTCACCTTCAAACAGGAATGTAAGTATAATCACTCCTTTTTAGTTATTCTCTAGCCTGTCCCCAAGTAAGTCAAATATAAAGAGAAAAGAGTGCTGAGCATGGTGGAGCACAGTTATAATACCAACCAAAAGGTTAAGGGAATAGAATTGAAAGTTAGAGGCCAGTCTGGGCTACCTAGCAACACTCTGTCAAAATGAAATGAAAGAGATAAAAGATTATTAATAGAACTGAAATGCTTCATCTTGTTTTTCTCCTTCCTCTTTTTGGTTATTTGTTTTCCTGTTAAGAATTAAGGTTCTAGGGCTGGGAAGGTGGCTCAGTGGTAGAGTGCTTGCCTTGCATGAATGAGGCTCTGGGTTCGATTCCTCAGCACCACACAAGCAAAAAGAAAAAACTGGAAGTGGCGCTGTGGCTTAAGTGGTAGAGCGCTAGCCTTGAGCTGAAGTGCTGAGGGACAGCGCCCAGGCCCAGAGTTCAGGCCCCACGACCCGACCAAAAAAAAAAAAAAAAAAAGAATTAAGGTTCTAAGCAGGGCGCTGGTGGCACATACCTGTAATCCTGGCTACTTAGGAGGCTGAGCTATGAGAATCATGGTTCAAAGCCAGCCCAGGCAGGAAAGTCCATGGGACTCTTATCTCCCATAAACTACCAGAAAACCGGAAGTGGTGCTGTGGCTCAAGTGGTAGAGTGCTAACCTTGAGCTGAAGAGCTGAGTGGACAGTGCCCAGACTCAGAGTTCAAGCCCCATAACTGATTTAAAAAAAAAAAAAAGAATTAAGGTTCTAGCCAAGCGCTGGTGTCTCACACCTGTAATCCTAGCTAATCAGGAGGCTGAGATCTAAGGATCATGATTCAAAGCCAGCCTGGATAGGACATTCCATGAGATTCTTATCTCCAGAAGTGGTGCTGTGGCTCAAAGTGGTAGGACACTAGCCTTGTGCAAAAGAGTTCAGGGACAGCATCCAGGCCCTGAGTTCAAGTCTCATAACCAATAACAGTAACAAAAAAAGAAGGTTCTGTTGGGGGACAGGGGCAATGAGAGAGGCACCATAAGAATGTGGGAGGAAAGGTGAGCAAATTCAGTCATTACAGTCAATGTATGTTATGTAAAAATTGAACTACATAACTTGAGAGGTAGGGTTGGATGAGGGAAAATGGGGGAGACATTGATCAAGATGCATTGCACTTATAGCCTGATTTATGGAATTGAAACCTCTTTGTACAGCTACTTAATAATGAAAAGAAAATGAGCTCTTTGAAGCTGTTGTCTGTTGGTTAAAACTCAGTGTTTATGCAGTACTCACAAATTCTTTTATTAATAGGTAGATCTCAGTTTTGTGGTACTTTGTGTACTCGCATTAATTCTTTTGTTTTGTTTTGTTTTGTTTTTGGGGTCCAGTCATGGGGCTTGAACTCTGGGCCTGGGCTCTGTCCCTCAGCTCTTCAGCTCAAGGCTAGCGCTCTACCACTTGAGCCACAGCGCCACTTCCGGCTTTTTTCTTTTTG